CGCAAGTGATCCTCATGAGTCTGAGGGTCAGGCGAATAGATAAGAATGTCATCGATGAATATGATGACAAACTCATCTAAGTAATCCATGAAGATGCGGTTCACCAGCTGCATAAATACTGCGGGAGCATTTGTGAGTCCAAATGGCATGACCACAAACTCAAAGTGCCCATATCGAGTTCGGAACGCCGTCTTCTGTATATCCTCGGCCTTAACCCGAATCTGGTGGTATCCCGATCGCAGATCGATCTTTGAGAACCATTTAGCTCCCTGAAGTTGATCTAGCAACTCATCAATTCTCGGCAACGGGTACCGATTTTTGATAGTCACCTGGTTGAGCCCACGGTAGTCAATGCACAATCTCATGCTCCCATCTTTCTTCTTCACAAACAACACCGGCGCTCCCCAGGGTGAGACGCTAGGGCGTATGAATCCCTTCTCCATCAATTCATTCAATTGTTCCTTCAACTCTGCCATTTCTGTCGGTGCCATCCGGTACAGGTAATCCCGGCAAGTCATCGGGGAAGACATCAGGAAACTCTTGAGCAATCGGAGTATCCTTTAATCTGTGTTCCACTTCCTTGGTAGCGGTGATGACTACCAGAAATGCTTCATTCCCCTTTTTGATCATCTTTTCGGCCTTGAGTGCCGAAATGATGGGATTTTTCGATGGTGCTCCTCTTCCCCGAAATTCGAACCCACCACTTGCATCAATAAACCATATGGTTCTCTTCTGACAATCGATCTGAGCTCTGTGCTTCGACAACCAATCCATGCCCAATATGATGCTATAACCGCCAATCGGTACCACTATGAGATCTGCGGCTAAGTTACGACCACAGATGTCCAGCGATACATCTCGTAAGGTCCCATGTACCGGAAGCGTCTCTCCCGATGGTGTGCGAACAACAAGGTCGCTCTTCATATCTATTCGCTCCATACTTAGTTTCTTTGCTTTTTCTAAGCTCAAGAAACTGTGAGTAGCCCTAGTGTCAAACAATGTATAGCACTCAGCATCGTAAAGGTGAAGGGTACCTGTGATAGCGGCAGCTTCGTCATCCTCGAGGTTGGTCTCCTCCTCCTGTACCTCTGTCTCAGCCTCAAGAGCATAAACTCTCGGGGCTGCCCCAGCCCTCTGTGGTGGTCGTGGCTGTCTGGCCATAGGCAATGTGTCTGTAGGTGCAGTGCAAGTGGCCGCAAAGTGTCCCGGCTGTTGGCATCA